TATTTTTACGAGGAGCACAGAGCACACGCTTGGCCATGGCTCACCATTAGTCTCCCAGGGCAAAATGTGGAGGAGAAACCAGCTTAGTCACAACACTTTGGAAAAGGGTAACCTCAGTGGGGGAACAGGGCCTCTCTGGCTGGAAACACGCCCGTCAAAATAGGTTTCTCCAGTTTCCCATCTCATTGCCCCACGGGAGAGGAGAGAGGAAAGGATCTTATTCTCCATAAGAGAAGGGAAAGGGATATACTGGTATCCTTGCGTGGATTTAGCTACGCAGCACAGGGATGTGTCTGCATCTTGAGCTCATGCTGTAGACATGGGACATCCAGCCTCAGCCTGGAGATGGAGATCTGGGTCCCTGATGTCCCCAAGCCATGGTCTGCACACTGCTGTGCTCACTCCACCCTTCCCAACACAGTTTATTGAGTGTAGAGAGTTTTATGAAGCACTTCCAGAGCCAGTTTCTCACCGTAGCCCAGGCAGACACACCCCGAGCATCACCATGGCTTTTCTTCAGCGAAATTAAAGGAGTCTTTAAATATTTCAAACAAGCAATTTCCCTCATTTTTAAATAGAGGTGGAGGGTATTATTAAGTAAAACATCCACAAGAAACAGCAGTGAATGCCTCTATCCCTTCATACGCTCTTACAGGAAATTAAAGACCCATTTTAGCAGTAGCTACAGGAGAGCAATGCCTCCAGCTCCCAGCTCAGACCCCTGCCCTATCGCACTCGACACACCACACCTACGGACAGTCCCTTCCCAAGAAGAGCTTAAAAATGCCACATGCAAATCAAGAGGAGGCATGAGATGGGCAAACACCTTGCAGCTCAGCAGCAGAGATGAGAACAGATGAGCTAGCTCCAAGTTTGCTGTCTCCAGAAGGGAAAAACGAACACACGCACCCCCGCCCCCCAACAAAACCTAAGGATGCAGAGGGTAACAACTCTGCTCTTGGCAGAAATTCAGAGGCCTGATGAGCTCACTGGGACCTGCTAGGAGATACATGCATCCCCTTCAGGAACATCCAAAAAATATATGGGGTTTACCACACAATCCCCAATGGGGGCTGGGTCTCCCTGAGACATGGCTGTGACATTGGTGGTGCTGCCCTCCAGGAGGGCTGCAGGAAGGGCTGCACCCCACTACATCATGGGATGGACCCACAAGCATCAGGTACGCACCCCGCCTGGGGCATTTGCACCTCTCCTCCCCACTCCAGGTTACATCAGCATATGAAGCCTTACGTGCAGTAATGAACCTGGATGATTGATGCCATGGCGCTGCTCCAGGCAGCTCTTTCCCAAGGACAAAAAGGCATGGGAAGAGTTTGGAGGATAGGGAAGGAGAGTGTTGGGAATAACATGGCCTGGGAGGTGGTTGCTGGCGGCCCTCAAACAGAGCTTCCATCACATCTGCAAGCATGACCAGAGCCAAACACAGTTTATGGGGGTGGAAGAGCTTCCTTTTTGCTCAAAGTGAACTTTTTGGTGGCTTATTGGTTCCAGACAGCAAGTTCAGGGAAGCCATGCAGCTCCCACACTCCCAGGGAAGCTGTTTCAATGAAGATGTCCCATCAGAAAGCTCTGCAAACCGTCCTTCAGGCTTACCAGACAACATCACTCAGCCTCTTCCTACAATTCACATCTTTTGTTGTAAATGCAACCTTAATTCCTGACAAACAACATGCAGGAGAGAAGAAAAACAACCATGATAGATGAGCCTTCAGCTCCCCACCACACTTTGCCCTGTACCAGATAAGGAGAAGCATAGAGACATCTCTTTAGGAGGAAGCCCATTCCTGGGAGTTTCAACAGGATTCGAAGGAGCATCACCAACTACAGCTCCTGCTCACCCTACAGCCTGCACAGTGCTGTGCAGAAGAAAGGCATTTCCTCTGGAGGTGCAGATCTTAGACGCTTGCAACTGATTCATCTTTGGTGCACAGAACGTCATCGTGACTGTAGTGCCAGGACACGTCACACCGATTTAGCAGAGCTGTGCCATCCTCCCAAAATTACAGGTAGGGAACTGCAGCACAGGAGGAGGACTAAGAGCTCAACAATCCCCAGAGGTCTGATGCCACCTACATCTCCTGTGATCACCATCTGGTAGCTTTTGGTCTTCTCTCTTACCCATCCTTCCTCCTCATCCAGCCTGTTTTGAGAGATCAGACATTTCATACCTATCTAAGCCTCTGCTGCTCTGCAAATCAGACACCAACAATATCTCCTATATAAAAGAAAGCCTGGGGAAGGAAATCTTAATTATCCAAACAGCCAGTGGCCACCACACAAAGTCACATTTACCATGGAAGGGAAGGGACCCAGCCTGGGATTTTCAAAAGCCCTTATGCTGCTACAGCTGCCAGTGACCAAATGGGGCTGAGACTTTTAAAAGCCGACATCTGCCTGGGGCTGTGCTCACAGAGAAACCTGCTCATGCCAGAGCTCCCAAACTGCTCTTTTTTGGGAACCTGGCCTTGAAGGCACAGCCAAGGATTCTCTCGTCATTTGGGGTCATGATAAATATCGCACAAGGACGAATAATGGTCTGTTATCCTTGGAAGGTTTTTAAAGCAGAAAGAAAAAGTGGCAGAAACCAGAAATCATTTGCAAACCAAAGTGCTAACAGCCAAAGTTAGGGGTTGGACTAGATGACCACAAGAAGGACATGGAACTGTTGGAGCGGGTCCAGAGGAGGGCTACAAAAATTATCCGAGGGCTGGAGCACCTCTCTTATGAGGACAGGCTGAGAGAGTTGGGCTTGTTCAGCCTGGAGAAGAGAAGGCTGTGGGCAGACCTGATTGCGGCCTTTCAGTACCTAAAGGGGGCCTATAGGAAAGAGGGGGAAAATCTTTTTAGTAGGGCCAGCTGTGACAGGACAAGGGGTAATGTTTTAAACTAAACCAGGGTAGGTTTAGACTAGATATAAGGAAGAAATTCTTTACAATGAGGATGGTGAAACACTGGAACAGGTTGCCCAGAGATGTAGTGGAGGCCCCATCCCTGGGAACATTCAAGGCCAGGTTGGACGGGGCTCTGAGCAACCTGACCTAGTTAGTGGTGTCCTTGCTCACTGCAGGGGGGTTGGACTAGATGACCTCTAGGGGTCCCTTCCAGACCAAAACATTCTATGATTCTATGATACCTCTAAAGGTCCTTTACAACCCAAAATGTTCTATGATTCTATGATTAGGTGAACGTCACTTGGTCATCTGGAAAGGCTGATACTGTGCAGTCAAACCACGACTTCTGAGCAGGTCCTTCTCTGTCCAAAGACACACAAGCACAGCAGCAACCAACAGGCTTTTTCCCTGGAACTCAGAGGTAAGCTCCATGCTCCCAGCAGAATGGTTTCCCAAGTCAGCACAGTTATAAAGGTGTGATGAGACCATGGTACCTACCGGTTTGGGGCAGTGGATGTATCTAGCAAGGCTGATGATCAAGTCATGAGTGATTGGATCCACCAGGTTTCGAAAGCTGGCATATCGATAGAGGACATCATCCAGAGAGGTTGACTCCATTCCCAAATCCTGCAGAAAACAGGGTAATGGAGCAATATGAGATGTGCTACAAAAGTCAGCGCTAGCATGGATCTTAAAATTAGCCCACGTTGGTGGTTCCCATAAAGAACCAAGAAGAAGGCAACCCCCACCACCCCCCAACACAAGGGAGGGACACATGAGCATGTTGCCCTGGGGAAAGCTGCACTCCTGTGCTTTATCTGCTCTGCAAGGAGGCGTTTGGGCTGCAGGATGAACACGCTCCTGCCTCTCACAAGCCATAAATCCACGGAGTAAACAGTGTGCTTGCAACAAGGTAAAATAAAAAATTACTCCAGTGAACGTGACAGCTTGATCAGCATGAAACTGGAATTGGAGAATAAATATATCATAGACATGCTCTAGGTCTGCTGTGCACAGGGAGGAAGGAATGAGCCTAAAATTGCAGGAAGGGAAAGTTTTTGGGGGGTTTTGGGAAGAGCTGGACTAGATTGCCTGGGGAAGGGGTGGAGGCTCTGTCATTGGAGACCGGACAAGGATGTGTCAGGAACAGTTCAGATCGAGCTGATCCTGCCCTAGGGATGGATCAGACCTCCTGAGGTCCCCTCCAAGACTATTTTCTAAGATTTTCAATCCTTAGACATAATAATTTGAGGAATTTTGGCAGAAAACTCATCAGTATATTACATGTGTTAGAGCACAGGGACAAGGAGGGGAAGGGTTATATCTAGTCTGCTCCTTTTACTTCAAATATTTTATCTCCACTGCAGCCGATCAGGGGACAGGACAGCTCTCCTCTCAGATGAGCATGTGTTGCAGCGAGGTCCACAAGCCACCCCATAGGATAACCCTGTGCCAGAGTGGGTTCCTCAGGGATACGTGCCTCACAGGTCTCATCCAACACCAGAGCTCCAGGAGAGCTGGGCTCATTAGGTTGGACATTAGGAAAAATTTTTTCACCCAAAGGGCTGTCAAGCACTGGAAGGGGCTGCCCAAGGAAGCAGTCAAGTCCCCATCCCTGGAGGTATTTAAAAGCCGGGGAGACAAGGTGCTTAGGCACAGGGTTTAGTGGTGGGATGGCAGGGTTAGGTTAACAGTTGGACTTGATGATCTTAAAGGGCTTTTCCAATCTAAACGATTCTATCATTCATTTTCCAGCCCTGCCTTATTGAGTGAGCTTGAGCAAGTCATTTCCCTTTTGCCTTTTATTTTTGACAGGAATAAGATGGTTTGTATTTCTTTTCAATGGCATGCTTTCACTTTTAAATAGCAAAGCCCAGAAGCAGCCTCCTCTACTCAGGATGGATGGGATTTAGCAAAATGAAGACCCATGGGTCCTACTGCATTCCAGGAAACTCATCTTTCCTTTGGGTAACGTGTTCACCTTCCCATAGCAGAGACATCACCACACCTACCCCAAGGCATTTGCTTGCCAGATGACCTCTACAAGACCCAGTGGGCAGAGACAGATCCACACTGAGACCTGCCTGCCACCCTACCATGCATTTTGGCAGAGCCCCTACTCTGCCAAAACAATGTGGAAGTGGTTGTTTGACAGACAACACCCGATAGAGGATGTGTAACTGGGTAAGAAAGAACTGGCCACCAGCATTGCATCAGTGTAAACGCTTATGTAGGAAGCCACAACCTCTGGTCCTTCAAGCCCTCACTGGCAACGGGAGCTGGGTTTGTAAGCTGGTGGGCTGGTCCAGCTCCAAGTGTCTACTCCTGCTTCTTGAACCAAAACACAGCAGAAATGAGGGATCATTTCAACTATCCACTAAAAAACAGGCAATGATAAATTCCTTGTATCTGTATCTCCATTAGCACTGAGGAAAATGACTTCTGACCCCCAAGAACAGCCATGCTGGAGACAGAGACTTGTCCACAACCGCGTCAGTCTGGCTGAGTGATTCAATTAAAAAAAATAAATAAATAAAATTGAAAAGTGTCAGACAGCACAGGGCTGGGACCATCTCATTCACCATCATCTTGCAAAAAGCAGTTGACGCTCTTTTTATTTACAGTTTTGACTAACAACGTGTTATTTATTGAGCATATTGCACTTCTGCCGAACTTGTCATGTGAGGACATTAGAGCATCTCATGAACGCAAATTGCACTTACCACCCACAGCCACAAGTCCTCACATTTAGAAGCAATGCATTTAAGAGGGAGGCATCACACAGAGACGTTATCTGCCTTACAGAGCCAAGCAGAGCAGCCCAGCGAGATGTTAAGCCCTGCAGATGTGTGAAGGGCGTTCATCTCAACCCTGTGCTACAGTCAAAGCACCGCAGCTCCCAGCCCTTGCAGTATAAATGGATTTTTTGTCCAAACAAATGGAAGTGCAGTAGGGTTGGATATAGCTGTTGTGGTAGGAAATCAAAAAAAATCAACAGGGCAGTATGAAAGCAGCTTAAAAAAAAAAAAAAAAAAAAAAAAAAAATGAGGGGGGGGGGGGAAGAGAAGATAATCACAGACCTGAGTAACCTCCCTTTGCACATGTACACATGGATAAAGACCAGGCAGAAAAACAGAAATACAACTCAGGAGCTTCAATTATCAGACATTCATTATATGAATGTCATATCTTCAGACCCAGGGCACAGACGGGGACAGAAACCTGTGGCTGAGGGTGGGGACTGTCCCCTAAATCCTGGCAACACTTTGCAATTTGATCAGCTTAGGTGTGTGTTAAAAACCCTGAGACAGCCTCAGCTGCTCTGGGGTTGCAGTCTACAGCTCACTACTGACAGCCACACACGCAATTCGTTAATAATTTACGTGAAAAAGTTCCCTTTCTCCTGCCCCCAGTGTTTTAATACAGCAAATCCAAGCCAACACCACCTTGGCATCCTGCAATATATCAGAGCCTGTCCTGAGGCCAGAGATGATCCAGCCCCACCGAACCGCGTGGGAAGGCACGTTGTTTGTATGGGCTGATGCTCTGTGACTTCAGACAGGCTGAAAATGATCATCTTCACTTCAAAAAAAAAAAAAAATATTCCATCTTCAGACACTGTCTGTAGCAGTCAGAGGGTGCAATTACAGCTCATGCCAGAAACGAGGCGGCAAGTCTCCAGCGTACTAGTTTCCTTGTTATTTTTAGGGGCATCACCGCAGCGCTGACTGAGTTAACACCGGCTTTGCTGACGCTTTGACTGCAAACATGCCATTTGGTAAAAAAGAGCCAAGGCAGTTAAAAACCACACGTGTAGGGGGCTGTTCTTCCTTTGTTGGGAGGACCAAAAAAGACCAAAACAACAAATCCAACCGGCCACAAAACCCAACCGGCCAACGCGCCTGCTGATTGCAAACATGCCTAGTTTGAAAAATAAAGAGGCTGAACCAATTTATGATCCATCTCAAGGCTTCTGCCAAGTTGGCACTTAAAAAAAAAAAAAGAATTAATTTCAGTGTTGAGATCTAGAGCGAAGATGAGGGTGTGCGCTGTTCTCCCCAGGAGCGGCACTGTGACGGCCAGGCCAGCCCACCAAGGCTGCTCTGGCATGGTTGCATTTAATTAGGCTGGAAAAACTGATTCCTGTGTTCAAGACCATCTTCCTCCTCATGTATTTTGGCACCCCATGGATCCACAGGCGACTGCGCAGAATTGTGTGGCTTCAGGAGCTCGGGCTCCTTTAGAAGAGGAAAAAAAGGGAGAAATAGAAATTGTGCAGACAACGTAGGGCAGGGAGATCCTCAAAGCAAACTCCCACTCTTTCAAGGAGAGAAACACCTCTCCTAACAGCAGTGTGGATGTTACCTTCCCAGTCTGGTAGAGCTTGACATTAGGATTAAGAAAACATCAAGTAAAAGCTGGATTTGGCTCACAGTCATATGGCATCGCTGGCAAACCCCATGCAGTACCGAAGGAGCTGGTTTTGAGGCTTGGTAGAAATAATCCTGCACATGCAGCTCCTGACACGCTGGGATCTTCGAGGATCAAACCAGGCTTAGCATCTTGCCACTTGCCTTTAAGGATCTCAAAAGTCTGTCAATTTTCTCTTTAAGCTAAAATTAAAATGTAGAACCAATAAATCGGAGAATTTCTCCTCCTCTCTCCGGGGAGAGCTTACATTTTTCACATTAAGTATTCCCTCCTCCCTCCTGGTACACATTTTTTATGCACAGATGTCTTTCTCAGCTGCTCCCTAAATCTCTCTGCCACACCAGCATTGTCTCTTCTCCACCACATGTAATATTTTAAAGCCACTCAAAGCTGAAACTTATTCGAGGCCAAGTGATGAGCTCATCTGCAATTTAATAACTTAACACCAGTTCATGCTGTCAGCAGCAAACCACGAATCGCAAGGCTTTGGAGAAAACGCCCAGCATCTGGCTCGAGTCACTTGGGGTTTTTTTTCTTTCAGCATGTTCCCTTTTCCCAGGGGATCTTTACCTGGATAACAAGGGCAACTTTCAATAGGTAGGGTCTAAGGGTTTCAAATGATGGTAGTTATGAGCCAGGCAGGACCATGGCTTTCTTGGTGTAGGCTGCTGCCCCTGAGCCTGTCTTACCAAACCATGCCTATTGCTGAGCACATCAGCTAAAGTCTTGCTTTGCCAGGCAAGACTAAGGAGTAGGGAGAGGAGATCACTTTGGGACTAAGCAGAAAGGCAAGAGTCTTGCTTAATTCATTTTGCTGTGAATCCTCCCTGCTGTCACCTGTACCCTTCCCGCAATTTATCTGACTTCTTTCCAGCCTTAGGAGGCCAAGAGAGCCAAACCACTCTTCAGTCCTTGGGGACGGTTTACCCACTGGAAGGAAAGCTTCCTGCCACCAACTAGTTGCATTCAGTCTGCACAGGAGGAGTCTTCTGCAAATGGAGCAATAAAAAGCTATTAGATTAAAAAAACCAACCAACCAAACCCATGAAGGAATTAGAAATTTAAATCAAAGAATTCCAGCAGAGAAACGTACTGCCTCCCTCCACAGCAGCCAGCGATAGAAACTTCCCAGCTACAGCCATGAAAGGCAAAGAGAACCCAATTATTTTGGAAAAACACCCAGACCAGTGAGACCC